AAAAATAAAATATTTCTTCCTTAAGCTTATATCAATTTACGTATTATCCGTTCTCGAAATTTAACTTGTTGTTGCAGCATGTAGGTGCAGTACATAGAAAACATTATGTACTGCACATACCAAAGGTAGAATAACGTCAAAGAAATTAATGAGTCTTTGCATTTTCTAAACAATAACATTAGAGGACGCCTTCAGTCTGACTAACACGATTAACCAATAGCTCTCATCGTGCGGGTTCCATACAGAAAGGCGTTACCGCAATATTTGGTTGGTCTGAAAACGGCTTTAGATCCGTACTGATGTCATATAGATATTTTTATTATTTCTATGCGTTTTCATGAAATTGACGACGCATGTATCTTCCAAGGCAGAAGTTGGTGTAATAAAGAATAACAACCAATTGCTCAAATATATTATCAGCATGTTTTTTTTTTTCTAATTAATGTTGCTCAAACCTTACAGTTATCGTACCTGTAGATGCTTCACATCTATCTCCATTGAAGCCGTTAATGCAGTTGCATACATACGATGTACCAACGTTCATACATGTTCCGCCGTTTAGGCACGGACCCGACGAACAAGGGGTCTGTGTACCCCCTGCGTGTTGGAAATGAATATAACGATTTAAGATATAGCATAAATAATAGACCGTTAAATTGAAGAAAGAAAGGTTAACATACCATGCATAATTGTCATATCACATCACATGACAATAAAACTCACATGCAGAAACACATAACATATACTGTCTCTTATACACATCTAGATGTGTATAAGAGACAGGTAATATATATAGGCATATATATAGGCATATATATATATCTGTCTCTTATACACATCTACTGTCTGATACGATATTAACATTATTGAGATAGTAAAATATTGACTTTTAAGATTAAGCCAAGGGATTAGTACAAGATTCAAAGATAAATTTTATTACAGTATTGGCTTTTCCTAGCAGTAGCAGGAGAAGCCCTTTTTTTCGTTCCATCTTGCATATAGTTTTTCCTATTTTTTTGCACAGGATGATTTTTTTTGCCCGGCACTTTGGTCACTTCCCATGCTTGAATCTATTCCAAATTTTGTAAATTCCAAATGGGTGTAAATGTCCCAGGCCTAAATATCTCAAAGAACTTATCAATTAATCTGAATAAAACTTTCTATGATATTTCTTGATGGTCCAATGAAGAAATAATTTTTGGTAACGATCCGGTGTAGGGTGTGAATATGAGGACCATTCAGAGAAAAACGTCCCAGACCACATATTTTAAAAAAACGGATAAACTGATTTCAATGAGACTTTCGAGGAAACTTTAACCAGGTTTTAGTGACGATACAGTTTTGTGAATTTGAGGGTCATTTAAAGTTCTAACGTCCCAAATTATTATTATTATTATTATTATTATTATTATTATTATTATTATTATTAAATGCTGAGTTTGATAATGAAAATTGGTGCCATGTAAATAATCTCTTATCAACTCACCGGGAACTTCACAGTTGCCCCCTATCATGTTTCCATTGCAAAGGCACTTGTAATAATTTCCACTGTACTCACATGTACCCTGCGAGCCACATATGTCTGGTGTTGCGCAGTAATCTATCCAGTGTATTCAGAATATATGGTATACATC